ATTTCTTTGCTCTATCAAATCAGCGAATGCCAATCTGCCTTCATTTCAACACATTTTCCTGTGTGTGTGCGTTTATTTCCTATTTGTTTCTTCCCTATTGCTTTACACCCTACTATAATGCTCATATTTAAAAAATTTTTCCACCACTCAAAATTATACCCCCTATACCACCTGAAATTCGAAAATACCCAGGTCACATCTATATCCAAAATCGCTCGCCCCGGTTCCATCCGTACCCAAATCTTCTCACTAGGGTGCAAATTGTCCGCAAAATCGCTCTTCAATCGCTTTGATTAATACTCAGTAATCAATATTTTCTTATGATATAGACTTGAAAACGACAACTTCAAGGCCAGAAATTACCCGGAAAACCAGACAATTTGGTAAGAAATTACCGAGAAACCCGAGAAGAACCAAAGAAAAAACCAGACAACTGCAATCCGAGGTCAAAGGTCACGCTGAATTCGACGAAACAACCATGTTCGCTCTAGTCTACTTCCCGACTCTGCGAAACCATTCCGTGCTGGGTCTTGGGGAGCTATCGTCGGCTGTCGCCGAAGGAGATCAAGTCTATTTGAATGTACCAGGAGCAGGCGCAGGCACGGGGTCAGTCAGTCCCGGTGCCGGTGGGGGAGGTCATTTTGCCCAAAACCACTCCAGACTGCCAATTCAAGTGCTCGAAATCGGCACACGCCACGAGCTGCACGCACTCAGACGTGCACATCAAACAGTGAACAACAGCAGCGCCGCGAACGCAGCAGCAAAGGCACGTGTGGTTTTTTTTGCACCAAATTTCAAAATTTTCGGTTTATTTTTCACCACCACCACATCGTTTCTGGTATAATTCTTACCGCCAAACCCCCAGATCATCCCGTACTCTTCGGAATATACCGAAAAAAGAAACCCGAAACAACTCCGTCAGAGGGGTCGCAGAGTAGTGCGGTAAAAAAACGATACAAAAAATAACCTAAATCCCCACCAACCCTAATTCAGGTTAATTTACCCAATTTCAGGTTAATTTCCCAGCTAATGGGGAAGCAGCAGCAGCCGGTGTCACCACTCGTCAACGCGGTACCAAACGTCCTCACTCAACAACCAATACATCCGACGAACACGGCCAGACCAAGTCCGACCCTACCCTGACCTCGAGCTCAAGCTCAGTTGCCCACGATCCTACCACCACCACCTCGCCAACCTCAGCCCAAACGACGCACCACCTATTCGGTGCCCTCACATCACTGCCCGGACTGNGAACGCAGCAACAAAGGCACGTGTGGTTTTTTTTGCACCAAATTCCAAAATTTTCGGTTTATTTTTTACCACCACCACATTGTTTCTGGTATAATTCTTACCGCCAAACCCCCAGATCATTCGGTACTCTCTGGAATATACCGAAACAAGAAACCCGAAACAACTCTGTCAGAGGGGTCGCAGAGTGGTGCGGTAAAAAAAACGATACAAAAAATAACCTAAATCCCCACCAACCCTNGCCGCCGTTCACATACTCGAGGACGAATGCCTCACTCCGGACGGTTCGTAACAATAATAATAATAAATAACAATAATAATAAATAACAATAATAAATAACAACAATAATAATAACAAATAATAATAAATACCAAATAAATATATTCCAGACATCGACTACTCATACGTCTCCAAAACCGAAGTGGTTGTGACCGCACGCAAGTCGCGTTCAGTGACCGCGTTCGCGCGNATAAAATCGATAAACAGAAGGTCGAGTGGCTCAGGCGTGTCTGCTGCGCGTATTATCCAACAACAGTAAGCACTAAATCAATTATAATAAAAATAGTAATAATATTAATAAATACAAATCGCAATATATAATAATAATTAAATTTATAATAAGTAAAAATAATAATAATAATCGCAAAATATAATAATCATACTCAGAATATATAATAGTAATAGTAAACGAAACGCCAAACACCCATAATAATACCAATGGAACCATAATGCATCGTATCATAATCACACTAATCAATATCATAGTAATCATAGTAATGAAAGTAAGTAATCATCATAGTAATAGTAATCATAGTAATAACTAAAGTAATCGTAGTACTCATCATAGTAATGAAACCGCAAACTGCAAAATATTCACCAACTAATCCTAAAAATATCGCCACCAACAACAAAAATAACAATAAAAACAATCCTACACCCTAAACCAAACCCAAGCAGCACCACACCACGAAGCAACCGCTCACGACGAACACTCGCATTCGAATGAGTCACAACCACCTATCTTCGACCATATATGCGACTCCCTGCGACAGAGAACGAGAAAATAGTATGGACAGAGAAACAGAGAGAGAGCACATACACACACACGCGCGCTCGCGAAAATAACGCGGGAAAACGCTCCTATGTGATCTGCCTTCACTACTATCAGAACAATAACACTAATAACAATAATAAATAATAATAAATAAACAATAATAATAATAAAAACAATAACATAATAATAATAAACCTATAGGAATGGTCACAGCAGTGTGCTCAATGGGCCGCATGTCAACGTGCCATCGACAACTATACCGTCTGGTTCCAAAACAGAACCGCCGTGAGCAGTAACCCATCGGTCGTATCGACGTTCGCCAACGGAGAGAGGGATATTTGGTCCCAAGTGGGTCAAAATCCAGACGATAGTGTTGGCGATAGTAACGGTATTAAAGACGAACCTCTGGACGGGACGGATGACCCCGATTCCGACTCACCTGCACCCACCGG